GCAAACTTTTTTCTAATTAGCGCAACTTATAACGTAGGGTCGAAAGTCTTAAAAAAAATGAAAATTTTTAAACTTATACTATTTGTACAAGAGTATAGTAGTCAATTTATATAAATTATAGGAGTGAGAATATGATTGTTGTGGTATAGAATAAAATTTCCTTCAGTTATTTATGAATGTTTGATGATATATAGGCTGATACAATAATTTCATTTTGCGTGGCATATAAATAGTAGGTAATATCTAATCTATTTTCTTTGTTTATTAAAAAGGTAAATTGTTTATTACAATTGGGTATTACTAGAGTACATAAATTTGATTTACCGAGTTGGGTTAAGATACAATAAATTTGAAATTTTAGTTTATTTAAAAATAAATAATATTATCATTTTATTAAAATATAACATGACATTAAATATTATGATTGTATTAAATAAATATATATATATTCAATTAAATTTAAGAGTATTGGAATATTCACTAATAAAAAATGCACGCTCAACATTAGCACACGAGTATTTAATGTTTGAGCAACAAAAAAAAGTTTTCTTTAATGCTAATTTAAAAGTTTATTTTATACTGGAAGAAAAGTCCAAGCCACTGGCATTCTTAGATTATTTTCATCTATTTTCTCATTGTATATAGTGATGTATAGAGAATCAAAAGAGAGGAAAAAGAAGTTAAAATCTCCGCCTTCTAGATTTAATTCCAAAGACAAAAACATGGGGCGAACCTTTGGAATATTATTAGGGATGAAACTACATGCCAATTAACCGGTGGGCTACAAATTAGAGTATGCTTTGCTAAGGAAAAAAAAAAGTTTTAAATTTTTAGCTTTTAGCTTTTTAATTTATTTTAATTAAAAAGTTCTGTTTTGTACATGTTTTTTTTGTCTTTTAACTTATAATTTTCTAATTAGTTTGTTTTCTTCAAAAAATAGCTTTAAAATCCGTAGTTTTGAATTTATGACATTTTATTCAAATTATAATTCTATTATATATATATATATATATATATATATATATATATATATATATTAAAAAATTGATTTTAAAAGATTAAATATATAGAGATTTTAAAGAATGCTATAATAAATTTTTATTATTTTTCTCTACTTTATTATAATAAATATTAATTTCATTTATTAAATATAAATTATATAATTAATTTAGAAATAGTGTTGATAATTCTCAAATTAGTGAAATATCGAAAAAGAATCAATGAAATCAATAAAGATGAATAAAATTTAGAGTTTTATTGTAAACTATTAAACTTAATATAAATAAATTTAAAATTATAATATTATTATTTCACGTATTTTATTAAATTTCGTTATAAAATTAGAAAAAAAAACTATATTTTACAAAAGAATAACTTAACTAGACCAAGAATTGTAATTATAAAGATTACTTTTATTTTTATATCCTCGTAAATGACTTTATGAAATACTTTTGCTTCATGTATGGTTTGTTGGTTCTTTTATTCATTGAATTTTGTTGTCAATATATTCATAATAAATAGCAAAGTTTATAATTTTATATACAAATGATCGTACCGGACCAGAAGGGAGACAATGACCTGCCACGCGTCGTTGATCTGCTAGCCGTTCACCGAATGTATGGAAGAGGAGAGGGTGTACCTGAAACACACTCTGATGCCAAAGTAAGCGACGAGCTGAGTGGAAGCAAGTACAAAGAGAGTAAGAAGTTAAGTTACTTGACCCTCTAGTGAAGAGGGTATTTATAGTGAGCCCTCAGCGCAGGGCCAACGGTTACCTAACACTGAGCTGGGCTTCCAGGCCCAATGTTAGTAACTGCTAGGGCTGACGTGGCGTCGTGAAGACCAGGACGTGGTCTTCGCCCTAGGATAATTGTCCCGCACTATCCGGGAGGAGGAAGACCGAATCTCCAAGAAGTGGGTAGTTACGTTATGATGTGTCCCTGCGTGAGGGACACGTGGAGAACGTGGGGAAAGGTCCGAGGAGTTCCCTGGGCGGACAGAGGTGGCTGGTTGGATGCGAGGGTCCTGCCCGACGATGGGGAAGATGGAGGTTGGCTGGTCGGAAGTGATGGTCCTGCTCGACAGATGTTGGTCTGTGCCCGACGGGGTGAAGTTGTGCTCGGGGATCCTGCCCGTTAACGTGGTATTCTGGGGCCCAACCTCATTGGGGCTTGAGCCTGTTTGTTGTGAGTTAAGCGTCGGCCCAGTCCAGAACAACAAATCTATATATTTTGATGATATCTTCAATTTTTATATATATTAAAATTGTTTTGCATGTTGTTATTAATACATTTACTTTTATCGAATAAAAATTAATTTAATAATATAATATAATAAGATAATGAAATCACAAATTTCTTAATTAAAAATGTTTTTTTAAATCATTTTGTAATTATTAGCTAGTGTAACAGTTAATTTACCAAACACTCAAATTAACTTATCAGCTATAAGCTAATTTTGCCAAACAGAGCTTTAGTCTACATAGTCTTAGTCGTTAGATTAGATTTTTTTTAAATAGAAAAAATTTAGAATTTTTTATAAGTTTATTTAGCTAAAGAGATTAAGTCACAGACTCGTAACAAATAACTTTTAAGTTTATCAGATTGATTTATTTTTAAAAAATGAATAAATATATTATTATTATTATATTATACTTTGAGCTTTGAAATAAAATACGAAAATAAAACTTAATTATCTTGAAGAATTTAAAAAAATGAGTTGAAAAAGTATTACAAACAATGTCATAAGATATTTTAGTAAGTTCTCCTCAACAAATAATATTTGTAAACTTATATTAACAAGTAAACATAAATGAGTTAATAAAAACAAACATTTAATCTTATTGATCTTTTAATTTATTAGTCTATTTTATAATAGTTGAATTTTTTTATTTACAATTGCTCAAATAAAACATACTTTTAAATAAATAATAGGTTATTCAAACTTTCGAAAAAGTCAATTTCAAACCTAGAAAGAAGACTATGATAAATTACATGATATGTTTAGGCTTTGAGTATTTTAGCAAGGAGACTCAAACTTAACAAAATCTAGTTCAGCTAGCCTAGTCCCACTTTAAATACTACTCCCTCCGTTCTGTAATGAATACTACCTCCGGCTCAAAATAATTTTTTTTTTAAGGTTTTTGCACATGGATTAGTAAAAATAATAATTGATTAATTAAATGTAACAATTTTACAAAACTGATCTTAATTACTATTAATTGTCATAAAGGTATAGTGTAATGTAATATCTTGAAAATTGTGTAAAAAATATTTATTCGGGATAAAGTTGGTAAAAATTAATTATTGTTGCATTGAAAACGTAAAAAAACTTTTATTTTGGGATAAAATTTTTTGAGTAAAAAGACTTTTATTTTGAGATAGAGTGAGTAATTCATTTAAAATTTAAAAAAAAATGTCCAATGAATTACTTTAATTTCCAATATATTTTTTTAATTTAATAAAAATATCATTCTCTCTTTCATTTTTTTTTTTAATTTATGTAAAATGTTCAACTAAATCACTAATTATAGGACGGACGAAGTACTATTCAATAATAGATGTGTTATGGACTGGGGCAAGACCTGCCTCAAAGACGGGCAGTCCCAATCCAATGCTACGTTGGGGAGGCTCAACAACGTCCAATCTTCCTCTGTCGGACGCACGCCTCAACGAGACATCTTCGTCCGGCAGAGCATTACCTTGTCGGAAAAACTCACGCGCTTCTCTCGCGGACTCCACGTGCCTCCCACACGGGGACACATCATCAAACAACTACCCATTTTCGAAAGAGTTGGTCAATCCACCTTTCGAAGATCATCGGATAGTTGATCCAGGGCAAAGACCACGTGATGGTCTTCCCTACGCCACGTAAGCCCTGACAGTTACTTGTGTTGGGCTTGACAATCTGACCCAATGCAATGTAGTCGTTGGTCCTGCGCTTGGGACATAGTATAAATACTCTCTTTTACTAGAGGGTCAGGTATTTTATTCTCTACACTTATTTTCTTTGTACTTACTTTTTCTAAAACTCCATTACTCACTTAAGTATCGGAGCACCTTGCAGATATACCTCCTCCTCTTCTATAATATCGATGAACCAACAGTTCACTTCATTTATTCTTTTCTGATCAGATGAGATAAAGATGATTTTCTTATGCATTTTTCTTTAATATAAAAATATTAAATTATTGAGTTAAGGAGTTAACATACACATTTTTGAAATTTGAATTCTGATCCAGTCAAATTCAGAGAATCTGATCATTGTGGAATGTTCAATAATAGTCGCTCATATATTATGTGTCTGCAAGCCTCCAGCAACAATTAAATCAATAGAAAGTTGAGTTTATAAATAATCTGAATTATTATTTAAATTTCATAATATTCATATAGAGTCTAGAGATTCTAAAAACTTTATATTCCAAAAGGATACGTGTCCGGAAATCTTGTAAGATGTTTGAGAAAATTTGCTTGTAGTATTTTGTATGTTTACCTAAGATAGTGATGCATTAATTTCCATTTAGTAAAAGACAACACTTACTCCATTGTAGCCACCTACATCCATCAAAATTGAATAGCCACTTTTGACACTTCCACATGTGAAACTCACAGTCAAACTCCAACACCTCATGCAACTCATCCATCTCACTTAACCAAAATTCTAACTTTTCTTCGCCAAACTAACTCCATTAAATCAATAAATAAATAAAACAACAAAATATACTTTCTCTAATGTATCTTAATTATATATAGATAAGATACACTAAAAATTTAATAAATTTAAAAAATTAAAAAATTTCGTATAAAAAGAACGGAAGATAGTAATATTAAATCACCGTTTTTCAACTGCCTCCTATTCAACCAAATTTATTATTTATACAATAAAATTAGTAAACATATTTATAAAAAAACCATTAACCACCAACCATATATTCTTCTCTTACTACACAATTTCTCACATTAGAATTTCAAACACATTTTTAATTTGAGAAAACTTTCATCATGGAATTCAGATCCAAATCATGCAAGGATCAAAATTTTCAGATTGAAAGCTACAATGGAGGAAGAGTAGCTCCAACTAGCATGCAAGATCTGAGAAGTTACAGTACAAGTTATGCTGGTTTTGATCAAAACAAGCAGATAGAAAAAGGGAAAAGAACAAAAAGTTGGAGTTTTAGTGATCCAGAATTGCAGAGAAAGAAAAGAGTAGCTGGTTATAAAATATATTCTGTTGAAGAGAAAATGAAAGGGTCTTTGAAGAAGAGTTTTAGGTGGATCAAGAACACATGCAGCAAATTATGGTGATGATTTATTGGTAATATATAGTTTGTGTTTTCTATAGTTTATCTGTATTATATAATAACAAGCTTGTTTAGGTTTTTTTTTTCTTGTTGTGATTAAGTTATTTTAATTTGGATTCTAAATCTATCTAAATTAAAATTTCTATACTTTAGAATATTTCAATTTCATTTCTTTATGGAACTTAATTCACAATTCAATTTATAGATGTCATCCCCTGCCCAATTCTTCAAATTTCAGGCATGCATCTTCTTAGTCATCAATTCAAACATAGAAAGTAACTAATACTATTGTTTCTTTTAATTTTTGTGGAAATTACAAAAAACTAAACAGAAAGAAAATTACAAAAGAAAGGAAAAAAAAAATCTAGCGAAAGTAATTACTAACTTAACTAGTTTTAATTTGGCCTAACTAAAGTTACTTAATTAGCTTGTCGAAATATGTTAGCTTGTTGTTTAAGTTTACATGTTGAATTTGATCAATCTATTGAGTCAATTGTTTAATTAGTATGTTAGTTGAAAGACATAGTTTAGTTTTCTTCTAAATAGTATATTAGTCACCACTTCCCCCTGAATCCCTAATAATCCTAATCAGAAGGAGAAAGTTGTGTGGTTGATATTCAATTGTAAACACTATTCCTTAATATTATTCCTTAATATGTAATTGAATCAAGAATTAGTTTTAACCATTTTGAATTGTCTTTCTCTTCTCTTCTATCTTTTCTCTTTACTTTTTTGTTTTCTAATTAATCAAGAAACTTATCATACTCTATTTTCTTAGGCATCGTTTCATAACAATTTGCATCTCAACAAGAGTCTTAATTATTATAAATTTATCCTTTTCACATTTTGGTGTGAAATTGATGCACATCACTTTGATTTTGAATAACAAAGATAAGTTCATTGACGACAACCTCACTAAACCTTTTTTCTCCGATCCGCTATATGTATCTTAGATTTGATGCAACACTATAGTTTTGACTTGGTTGCTTCGTTATATCTCATAATCAAATGCACAATCAATTTTATGGATCAATTTCACTGCCTAAGTTTGAAAGAAATTACACATTTGAGTATGGAAGAAGGATATATTTCGCATTTCATACATTTAAGATGATCTCTACAAATTCCGTCAAGATACCCTAAAATTTGAAAGAAATTATCGAATATGCTTCTAGTTGAGTGACATATTCAGCAATTAAAGAGGGACTATACAAATTTTGTCAAGGCGATGTGTTTACGATTACTTCACTCAATTGAAGGTTTATTCAAATGAATTCCAGAGTTATCAACTCCTTGCTCATTGTAAGTGTTCTATCATTAGTCGTGTGGTGAAATTATATCTATTCAGATCTATCAAAAATAAGATTATGTAATTCGCTTTTCCAAACATTCTAAATCCCAAATTTTGATGATGATCCCTCTTCTTGATATTGATCATGCATTGTCTCGTATGATTCAACAAGAACATAAAATAATTAAATATGTTACTAATTATACTACACATGATGTTTAATATGTACTTGTAATACAAGTCAAGACACATTAGAGCAATCATTCTAGTAAAGGTGGTTCGTATAGCAAAGAAAAATGATATGGTTCTTCTTCGATGGAAACAAATCGTGTTTGCACAAATTGTGAAATGACACATCCTATGAAATTTTCAAAATGCATTTTGTATCGTTTGGATTTCAAAATCTAGACGCACATATTTTTCATCAACTAGCACCCCTATTTTTGCAAAACAAAAAGGATATGATTTTTAGTCTCAGAATAAACCTTGATTACGTATTTCCTATGTTTCTTCACAATGTGTAGGTGTGTTGTTGCCTATGTATTTTATGTGTTTCCAAAAAAAAGTTATAGATTTTAATTTCAAAATAACCTCACGACAATATTTACTAGAAGAAATTTGACATTTTTTTTAATAAACTTTATATTTTAAGTAAATTAATTTCTGAATAAACCATACACATTTGTTATTCAGTAATAAGATAAAATATTTATAAAAAAAAAGTATTGTAAAATCATACATCAGTGTTCATAAAATACAACATACCTTAATACAAAATGTCAAAATATCAAAATACAAATTAAAAGACAATTATTGCCTAAATTAGACACTAGGGTGTTCAAAACCGAAACGGCCCAATAGAAAACCGCAATTGAACCAAATCGAACCAAAAATTTCACTTGATTCGGATGTGGTTTGTATTTTGCAAACTGAATCAACCCACATTATTATTTTTACAATCCAAACTTTACTTAACCCACATCTAACACAAACCCAAACCTATTACACCTTAAACTTACGATTACAAACTATTTTATCTTCCACATACTTAAGGTTTTAGTTTTAGCCTTCTCAAATATTTTCTTATAGAGTCGTGTCTTCTTCGCCGGGTACATTTCTCCCCTGCTCCTCTAATATTCACTCTCTTATATTCTTTCTTTTTCATTTTCTCATTTTTATGCTACTATACTTTCTTCCAACTTTGTTTTTATCGCATCGCTTGTTCTCTAATCTCTTAGGTTCTTTCTTTTTCATCTTCACTAGTCTCTTACCTCCTATATTTTTTTATTTCATTATAATGTTTTTGATATTATTTCATGCTATTATTTTATGTTTATTATTCCACTTTCATTTAATCTAATTTTTATATATTAAATGAGAAGTTGTTCTTTAAAGATGATGAGTTTTGTTGTTATTTGGTAATATATGAATGAATAAACACTAAGTTATGTCGTCCTCTATATATGTATGTATGACTCAATAATTTTTTGAAACTAAATCAACTGAACCCAACCAAACAGCATTTGGTTTGGTTTGGTTTTGTTTTATTTCTAAAATTCAATTGAACCAAACCAAACCACACTTTTTTTCTCTTGCGGTTTAGAAGATTTTTAGTGTTAAAACTGCACAAACTGTATCACGATCACCCCTATTTGACGCCCTTATTCATCATCTGCCTCCTGTACTGCAACACAATGTGTGCCTATTATAAGATGGATTGTGTAGTGGACATCTGAGGAGTGTCTTCCTCAAATTAACCCCTAGCTATGGCCTCTCTCTCAATAACCACAATATGGTGACATATCGGCAATACATTAACAACATGATCTGCCATTTCCTACTCCTCTTTTAGTATCTCCTGATGAGCTTGTCTAAGGGGATCTCCGTCTGCATTTGGCATCATGTAAGAATGTGACACTCTATAAAATCATTAGATGTAGTCATATATCGTACTCCATGGATGAGAATCTGACACACAACACATCCTCTGAAATCAGGTGATTATAGTATTTTTCAAATATTCCATCAACATCGTAGAGGATAGTGGAAGGAGCAGTAACGATGGGGTCTCTAAGTATTACCTTGCATTTACTCAAACGGTCGCACTCGCTCAGATAGATGGGGGTTCATAAGACGAGACCTACAACCAATCATCCATACTACAAGGAGATCACCTCCAAATGTAGTGTTTCATGATCATAGATGTACGATATAAAGTAAATACCATCTAACACGTTGTGGCCAAGAGAAAGTTGGAATGACTCGGTTGCCTAATTCCTTATGAGCAGGATGATCGAGCATGCACATGTCAAAGACTCAGAGTAATCCTCCACATATGCTCAATCAGAGAGACGGGGAAAATGTTGGTGGATCCATGTCTGAAAGTGGTTCAGATGAGTCAGATGAAATATTAGTAATGATATAACATAAGTAATATGAAACCAATATTAGTAAAGGTGCAAAAAAAATTGTAAATAAAGAGTTATTTCTTATCAACTTTATCAATTGTCTCTTCTTCAATGAACTACCTTCAACTAACTTGGAGTAAAGACAACAATAAAAAAAGCCCCCAATTGTACTCGTGAATCTTCTCCAAGTCAATGAAGTATCTAAGATAGATAACATCAACATATGTCACACTTTTGTCCACGAATATGGACGTGTCAATCAAAACCATGAGGTATAACCTTAATGCACATGCTCTGTGATATGCAACTTGTGCATCATCATCAGCAACAACATTTCACAACTGCAGCCAATTGGTTTTCATACAAATCCACCGGGAATGATAATCTAGCATGACATTCTTTGGTGTTATTTATCTCCTGTTGGGATTTTTCTGGGATTTTTCTTTGGTGTCACCTTCATGTTCAGTGTCTTATGTAGTGGTTTAATAATTTTTCCGTGATTGAAAAATTTAGAAGGTTTAATACATTATAAGTGTGATGGACATCTCACTGATTAGAAGATGAAACGACAACGTCTTTGAGTATCATCTCTACAAAAACAGACAATAAATCATGATTAGAATTTTGCTGAAGTGTTATAGTGAATTCTGACAAAATCATTAGTTAAAGATCGCTCTTGTTTGCGTACTGTTTGTTTTTTACTGCCATTAAAGATTGTAGAGGTTTTGGCATCAATTTTTTTATAATGTAGGAGTAGTATTTTGCTTGTCTTGTTATGACATGTGTAGCGGAATGTATGTTGTTTTAGAGCGGCTTTGCACATCTTGTGCTAGTTTGCTCGAGATCAATAAATCCGCAAAAGACACCTATATTAAACAAATTCAACTTTTAAAATTGTTCCGGTGTGGGCCTCACCTCGGCAGGCCCAATACCAAATGCGGCCCAACAAGCGAACTGGGCACGCCTGGCACGCGCCCCTTCGAACGAGCAGGGCTGGCCGCCGGGCACAAGCTACCGCTCCGCGTCCCTTTTTGTCGGCTTCCGTCAGGCGAGCAAGACTACCCGAGCTTCCCTCCGCGGGAGAATAACGTGCTCGGCGCACGTTCTCCACGTGCTCCCCTCCGCGGGGACACGTCACTGACCAACTGCCCACCTCCGAAAGAGCAGGTCAAACCCACTTTCCGAGGATCTAGGGGCAGTTGAACTAGGGCGAAGACCACGTCCTGGTCTTCACTACGCCACGTAAGCCCTAGCAGTCATTAGGGTTGGGCCTGGTCATCCAGCCCACCTCGAATGACCGTTGGC